AACCTCAGTTTCCTGACTTTACGATTCCTGTGAAAGTGAGTTTCTCTTTTCGAATTCTATAACATTTAAAGTCTCTCTGCTTCGCTTTTAAGGACATTTCGAATTCTGCTTTCGTATTTTCTGTATTGTGTTCTGATTTGAATATGCAAATGAGAATCACTGTTTACATGAATGGATAATCTCATGAAACCCAATAACCCATTTTGATATTTCTCTCTGTTTCTTGATTCAGGATTTCTTCAAATCTAGAGAAGCTCGTGAATTTCTTAGTGGAGCTTTAGCTGGAGCTATGACCAAAGCTGTTCTTGCTCCACTTGAAACAATAAGGTCTCTATATAATATAGTCACTTGTACTCACCTTAGTGAAAGGGTTGGAAACTAACTGCATTGTGTTGTGTGAATTCTGGCAGGACAAGAATGATTGTTGGTGTCGGATCGAAAAGCATTCCAGGTAGTTTTCTTGAAGTCATACAGAAGCAAGGGTGGCTAGGTCTTTGGGCTGGCAATGAAATTAACATGATTCGTATAATTCCGACCCAAGCGATTGAGTTGGGGACGTTTGAGTTTGTCAAGCGCGCAATGACGTCAACGCAAGAGAAGCTGAAGGTGATTGAGAAGGCGAAGATTGAAATCGGTGATTTGAGTTTCAGTCCGTCTATATCGTGGGTTTCTCCTGTTGCTGTGGCTGGTGCAGCTGCAGGGATTGCCAGTACACTTGTTTGCCATCCTCTCGAAGTCCTCAAGGTTATTATTAGTCAATCGAAATCTAACTTTAAAGCCCTTTCTTTTGGTCGTTAGAGTTGAAAGAGGCTGATATTCTTATGATCTTTACCAGGATAGATTGACTGTGAGCCCTGAGATTTATCCAAGCTTAAGCCTTGCAGTTCCGAGGATTTTCAGAGACGGTGGAATCCGTGGATTCTATGCTGGTTTAGGACCGACACTGATTGGAATGCTTCCATATAGCACATGTTATTACTTCATGTATGACAAAATGAAGACTACTTACTGCAAATCCAAGAACAAGAAGGCTTTAAACCGTCCAGAGATGCTTGTTCTTGGAGCTCTAGCCGGTAAACAAATAATTAAAACTTTCTTTTACGGTATTTGCTGGCTCAAATCATGTTTAGGACTCGTCGAGTTGTGAATGGGTTCTAGGTCTAACTGCGAGCACCATAAGTTTCCCGTTGGAAGTGGCGCGGAAGCGGTTGATGGTGGGAGCTCTGAAGGGGAAATGCCCACCTAACTTGGCTGCAGCAATATCAGAAGTAGTAAAGGAACAAGGAGTGATGGGACTCTACAGAGGATGGGGAGCAAGTTGTTTGAAAGTCATGCCGTCTTCAGGCATCACTTGGGTCTTCTATGAAGCCTGGAAGGATATTCTACTCGCCGCCAACACCAAGCCACTCCTATAATGACGAAACTTGAAACCTAAATTACCATTGTTACTTTAAAGCCAAAGCTTCATCACATTTCAAAGTTATATGGTTTTAGGGAATGTGGTGGCTTGGCTTTACCCCATGAGATGTTTTCTTTCTATATTTTTTTTGGCACATGGGAGTGTTTTGATTCCCACGAGAAGTATGAAGCTGAGCTTTTTTGGTTGTTAAAGCTGATTCTGTGATCATTTTAATCAAAAGAAAAATGAGGAAGAAGAGAGAAAATCAATTTTAACCACAAATCATGTCCATTTCTTATGGATGATGAAGTCAGAGTTATGGGTTTGTATGGCATGGGAGTAGGAAAGACCACCCTTCTCACGAAGATCAACAATAGGTTCTGCTACTCAAATGATGGGGTTGACATTATAATTTGGGTTGTGGTGTCTAGTGATCTACAAATTTACAAGATACGAGAAGAGATCCGTGAGAAGATAGGATTTAAAGGTGAGGAATGGAACCGGAAAAGGGAAAACCAAAAAAGGTAGTTGATATACTCAACTCCTAAAAAGAAAGGGATTTGTGCTGCTTTTGGATGAGATGTTGAGGAAAGTGGAACTAGTCGAGATTGGAATCCCAAATCCAACTAGAGAAAACAAATGCAAAGTAGTGTTTACCACTTGATCTCAGAGCGTATGTGCGAGCATGGGAGTCCAAGTCTGACGACAAATGATGCATGAGATTTGTTCCAGAAATTAGCTGGACAAGTAACGCTAGGAAGCCATCCGGACATTCTAAAGATCGCAAGAAAAGTTGCTGAAAATTGTTGTGCCTGCCACTAGCGCAGAACGTCATTGGAGAAACTATGTCAGGCAGGAGAACGTCATATGCTGCAAATTTTGGTACTCTTGTTCATGCATGTTTGTTGTTGAAGGAAGCAAGATGTCAATTGTGAAAAGGCATGATGTGATTCTTGAGATGGTATTATGGATAGCATCTGATCTTGGAAAGCATAAAGAAAGATGCATTGTGCAAGCTGGTGTTGGTTTACGTGAAGTACCTACAGTCAAGGAATGGATGAGGAGACAGGGATATCAAATTTGTTGAGTTTGAGGACATTGGCACTAGGATATTCTGGAGTGTCGCTAGATATCAACTTAATGAAGGAGTTGGAGCTCTTAGAACATTTACAAGTTGTAACTGCAGATTTCAGGTCAAGTTGCTTGTTGTTCGCCCCAAACCTTATTGATCTAAACGTTGGTTCGATAAATCAACTAGAGGATATAATAAGCAAAGATAAAGTTGATGGTGACAGAGAGGAACAAGCAAGTATTATTATTCCTTTTCAAAAGCTAAAATGTCTCCACTTGATTGATTTGCTAGAAAGGGTTATATCATATATGGGAGGACGAAGCCACAAGACTCCGTTTCTCACCTTCTTCCTACACATTCCACCAAAACTCGACGTCAACCAAAGAGGTTGTGTGTTTCACAGTGTTTGGAGTGATTTTTGTAAGTTTGTAATAACATGAGACATCTCTTTCTTGGGATTCCAAACTTTCCTTGGATTCATTGGTAGCAAACTAAGGACAAATCTTGGGGCATGACTGGTAACAAGTTGTTTGAAAGTAAAGGAACAAGGAGTGACTTGGATTCCAAACTCCAACTGATTCTGTGTTCTTTATAATCAAAGAAAAGGAGGAATAAGAAAGCAAATCAAATTTTAACCACAAATCATGTTCC